TCATTATCAGTTTCTCTTATTTAAGAAATGAACCTCTAAATCTTCCCATTAGCATGTTATTACCACCAACCATTCAAAATCCTCCCATCATTTCATTTTCTTGTTCTGTTATTACTTCAACATTATCACAATCAATCTGTTTGATTGAATTTGATGTGTCAACTATCTTCATATTATGACATTTTATCACTTTAACATCTTTTCCTTTAACATCATTCTCAATATTAATTCCTTTACACTCTTCATTTTCAACTTTCTTCAAAAATGCATTTGTTCTAAATCTAATGTCATTCATTCTTTTCAATACAAGTTCTTCTTTACATTGTGAGATAATGCCTTCAATTCCACTACTATTAGTTATAAGTACTTTGTTACACAACTCACTTGAACTGATATTAGACATTTCTGAATTTTCAATACGTACAATATCAACACCTGTATTATGAAAACTTCTTCTTATTAAAATACCTACCATTTTACTATCAATAACTTCTAATAACTTTTTATCTCCATAAATTTCAAATTCAATATTTTCACATTTGTTAAGTAATAATGATCTTACACATCCAATTTTTGTGTAAGTTTCATATCCAATATCTTGTTTTTCTTTATGATTTTTACATTTAACCATTTTGACATTTCCATATTCTTCATATTCTCCTTCAATTATTATATCCTCACTGTTTTTTATTGTAATATCACTGTTAATGTCACTTTGAATTTTAATACGACTGTCATATGCATTTCTTATTATAACATGTTTCTTATCTGTTTCTATTTCTATGTCTTTCTTTTCATTATTCATATCTATTATTTCTCTATCTTCTTTTATATTCTTCTTTGTTTCTGGAATACTACATTCTTCATTATCTATTGTAATGATTTCTTCAAGATTATCTAATTTCCCTGTATTTTCTGTATTTTTACATCTTGTTATTTTCATTTCATTATTTTCATTCTTCTTAATTATGATTTGGCAATTCTCACATTCATCAATATATAATTTCTTACATTTATCAAATAACTCTTCAAAAATATAATCTTTCATTGACACAATATATATCTCTTATGCTTCTTTCAGTGGTATTTTAATATATTCTTCAATTGATTTAAAGACAATTCTCTTTGGTTTAACATCATTTTCATTGATTGTAGAATCAACTACTTTCAATGATTTACATTTTTCATTTCCTTTAATACTAACTTCTTTAGATTCAATAATTGTTAATTTATTAATTGAACACTTTGTTTTAAACTCAATATTATTTCCTTCTATTATATCAATGTTTTGTTCATTGTTTGCTTCGATTTCAATTTTGAAATTCTCACATTTTTCAATACAAATATCAGATGATTTGTTTGTTGTTAATTTGAATTGTGTTAGTTTATTATCTTCTAATTTCATTCTTTCAATACTTTCTGTTTTAACACTAATTTGACTTTCTACACAATTATTCATGTCAATATTTTTTAATTTATTTGCTACTAAATTAATATGTAAATTACAACAACTACGTAATTGAATTCCTTCAACATTTTGGAATGTGGTTATATTTTCTTGTATTTCTTTCCAATATCTTCTTTTATTGGTTGTAATTCCTTGTTCTTCTTTCATTTCATTTATTTTTATTCCTTTTCCATTTAGTTTTATTTGTTTTAAATTATTTACTGATAGAAATTCAATTGAAGAATTGATATAATTCATTTCTAAACATTCAATGTATTGTTGATTTATTATAATATTTGAATCTCTTGTTTGAACATAAAGGTATTTGATATATTCAGGTAATTGTGGTATTTCATGTAATTTGATTTTTTGATTTGGACCAAAGTCTGGTAATAATGTTTCATAACATGTAATTGAATCTACATAAAAGTCATTAAGAATCTTGTATACTTTCTTTCTATTTTCTTCTTTATTCATATCTTCTATATTAACTCTAATACCACATCCATCATTACCACTAGTTGGATTAAATGATGTTATTTTTTATTTGAAAATAATGAACTACTTGGTGCTTTAAAAAATTTAATATTTCTTTCATTGTTTTGTTCAGACAAAACTATACTTGAAGAATAAATTGTAATTCCTTTTGGTATATCTATTTCTTTTTCTTGTTTAATAGGACTTTCTCTTTCATAAATGAGAATAATATTTTTATTCTCTCGAGCTTTAATTCAATTAACATTATTTGACACATAAGTTATCATTTCACTTGGATAAAGTGATTCTTCTATTTTCATTTTATCAAATGTTTCATTAAATACCTCTGAAAACATTTCATTACATCTTATTTTATTTCCTTTCTTCATATTTTGAATGATAATTTCTATTATTTCATCTGAGGCATAAGAAAAATAAATCAAAGACTCGACTTTTTGAATAATTTTAGACATTCTTTCTCTGTCTTCTTTTGTAATACTTGTTTGTTGTTGACCAAATTTTTGTTTGTATCATTTCCTGTTGTTGAAAATACAAAACTATCAAAAATATAATTTCTGATATTCTCAACTTTCATTAATATTGACTCATCAACTGGAAGTAAATTACAATTACATGTTGGTGGATTAAATATTCTACAAAATTGATTAACATCTTTTTCCGATGTAAACATTGATTAACTTTCAATGAGTGAATTGCAGCTCCACATTTCTTGTTAATCATTTCAACGTTTTTGATGTCATTCATGTCTTTAACATGAAGTGCTACTTTCATCAAATAAACCATGTCTACTTGTTTCATTTCTCTTCTTTTATAATTTGTTGATTTAGTGACTTTCATTAAATAGTTCAATTCTTTATTTTTTACTTCATCTTATTCGTCACAGACACAATTCTATTTATAGTGGAATAACTCTTTTAGAATAATTTTATTTAAAAATTACTATA